AGTCTTAGTGGTGGGAGTCAGGATCTTTGCTGCGGCATGCAGGGCCTCTAGTTGCAGCATGTGGGATCTAGTTCCCTGACCAGGAATCAAACCTGGGTCCCTGCATTGGGAGCTCAGAGTCTTAGCCACTGGACCACCAGACAAGTCCTTTAAATGCTATTTTATTTTTTTAAATTTTAAAAGATTTTTTTGATGTGGACCATTTAAAAGTCTTTACTGAATTTTGTAACAATATTGCTTCTGTTTTATGTTTTGACTTTTTGGTCATGAGGCATGTGGGATCCTAGCTCCTTGACCAGGGATGGAACTGGCACCCCCCTGCATTGGAAAGTGAAGTCGTAACCACTGGACCCCCAGGGAAGTCCATTGATTTTTAAATGTTGGCATCAACTAACACTGTCCAGGCTGATCAGTAAAGTTTGCAAACTCTGCCCACACCAGTGGGCAGTGATAAGGCTGACCTGGGGCCAGGGTCCGTCACCACAGCCAAGGCCCCCAAGGACAGAGGGTGGGTAGGACCGCAGGAGGACAGGCCGTCTTCCCTTGCCTGCAGGGCTCCAAGGGACACTGATGCCACAGCAGCTGGCTGGCTGCCACATGCTCCTTCCTTCCCCCTGAGAGAACAGAGATCATAGAACAGAGTGACTTCCACTAAGAGATAAAACCTCTAGAAGAAAACAGGAGAAGATCTTCATGATCTGAGTTTGGCAAAGATGGTGACATGGATGGTTCACTTCCCCCTGTATTTAACAAATGCTAGCATTTCATCATATATGCTTTAAAACTTACTCAACATAACAGATTGCTGAAAACTTCTGTGGCCCTGCTAATTTCATGAATGGTGTTAACATTTCACAACCATAATCTTTGTATTTGTACACATTCACCAAGAACACACTGCATGATTTCAGGTACTAAAATTTCAGGTAACATATAGTGTTTCTATGCGCTAGGAAAAAAACAGTAGAAAATGAACTTAAAAATTGATACCATTTACTGCATCATGAAAAATACATTCGTGCATATCTAGAAATACATCTGATAAAAGATACTCAAGGGTCTACAAAAGTTTACTAAATGTTACTGCGAGAAGGGAAGAATTTCCACCCTTTTGTCTGAAGCAGGAGGTGGGGAAGGGAGAGTGGGGTTGGGTGCTTCAGATGGGTCTTGCACTGGGGGCTCAGGGCTCCTGCTACATGGTGGTCCTGGAATGTAACAGATATGTTCCCCAGCCAGTGTGCAGACTGGCCAACTGTTCTCAATGAAGGCATCCTTCAGGGAGGTGCCAATAAAGTAATAGCTGCCTAGCTGAGCTCCCGGTCTCTGGACAATTCTAGGAGAGGCAGGGTGGCCAACAGTTGGAGACAGGATTTCTTCTTTATTAGGTCAGGGGCTGGTATGATTTTATGAGCGGCCTGCGACCTTCAGATTCTTCAGGGAACATCACGCAACAGGTCAGTATCTTCACAAGGCCTGGGGAAGACTGTTGTGGTGATGACAGCTGAGCCTCACTGAGTGCCTTCTAGTGCTGGGACTTTGTTTATTGTACCCTTGTTCACTCATTCAAACCCCACAAGAAGCTTACATGGTGGGTGCTATGATTACCCCCATTTTACTGCTGAGGACATGGAGACGGGATGCTCACTAACTTGCCAACAGCAGTGGTAGGGGGCCGAGCGGGGGTGGAATCCCAGTGGCTAACTGCAGAGTTGGTGCCTTTAACTCTTGTACCATCCAGATGTCATCCACGGGTCTGGGTTGCAGGCCTCCCCCAGCCTTGGGAGCTCTGCTGGAAGGGGTCTCTGGGGAGCCCCCAGTCAAGCCAAGGTTTACAGAGAGAAACCAAGGCTTCAATCCTGCATTTGTGGCTCTTGATCCCACATGACAGCTTTCAGTCATCAGCGAGCAGTGGCTAAGAGGTCACCTTTCTAGGAAGAAGCCCATTGGCTTCTTTTTAAAATGGACTTTGAACACTATTGCTGAGCTCTAAAAATGACGAGTGAAGCTTTTATAGAGGCGATCTTCTCATGGGATCAGGTTGTCTCTGTTGTTTCTCCTGGGAGGTGGGGAAAGGGTCTGGTGTGGATGAAACAGACATGAAAATGTTCATGGCATCCACATCCACCCCAGTCCTAAGGGCGGGATGACCACACAGGATGGAGTCAGGGGCAGCCTCCAAAGGCCTGTGGTATCTTGGCTACATTTAATTTTTTGTAATATGATGAAATGATCAATGTTAAGTTTCAGATTCCACTTGGTATTCACATACACACTAATACATATATTAATACATATCAGCAGAGTGTTCACCAGACAATTTGTCATCCCGCAGTCATTTCTTCTGTATACACTTTCCTCCTCCATCACCGCTCTGTCCATATGGGAGCTGCCAGGGGCCCCTCACTCCAGGCATCTGTTCTCCATTAATCACGTGCACCAGTTCTTCTTGGCCATTCACGGTGTGGCTGCCCCTCTGCCCTCATAGCACAAACCTCCCCACTGTCCTCCAGTCTGGAGTGGGGATTCCCCACCTGGCCCCCGCACAGCCACGGTGAAATGATGGCTGATTCTTTGTGTCATGGAGGCAGTCAGCCATCCCCCTGATGGAAAGAAAGCAATCCCAGAGCAAGCTGAGGGCGGCAGCCCCCCCAGGAAGAAGGGCACTCCTCAGATCAATCAGTTCCCTGATTGCTTCCTGGAGGTGAACACCAGGAGTGCGCACAGCCAGGTGGCAATCTTTGTCTTCCTGTAAACCCACATTTCCCACAGAGGCAAAGTTACTCGTTGCGTATACTTTTTAGTTAGCTGGAAAAAGAAATCTCTTGGGTCAACAATGCTGTAAATAAAGCCGATGGTCAAGAATTTTGTTTTGGAAAGAACAATTGATGTTCACTTTGCACACATAGCGATCGTTTAGTCTAAATGCAAGGTACCGTTTCATCATGAGATGAAAAGGCATACAAGCTCAGGGTGCCTGATTCTTCCTGGAGCGCTATGCATTTGGGTGCTTCATGCGGTGGGTTGGGTGGGCTCCTCCTGAATCCCAGAGGCTGTCAGGACGCCTCTAGAGCATCCTTGCGCCTATGGTGGGAGCTGACTGGTTGTCTGTCAGTGGGCGAGTTTGCTGGGAAGCCAGCACCCACTCACTGGTCTGAATAATCTCCTGTGTCACTTGGTCTTAGCTTGGGTTTGCCTTCCTTTTAGTCAGACTCGGCAAGTGCATGGCACACCACACCCTTCAGTCTAGTATCTATGGATCACCAGCTAATCATAGTGCTCTTTCCTACTGAGCCCACTGTGACCTCAGATTCCTTAACCCGGTGCCCCAGGTAGCAATGACCACACATCTGGAGAGCTGTTTTAAAGTCCAGGTTTCCTTCTCATTCATTCTCAAACCCTCATGTCTCAGTTTTGCCACTGGTACACAAAGACCTTGAAGGCATTTTGTCTCTTTTATGTCTCATCCTGCAGGCACTTCTCTTGAGAGGATTAGCCTTGGGGACAATGATGCTTAAAGAACCAGGAGCTCTGAGTGTTCACTGGACCATTGTTTCCTGAGACATCAACCCTCCTGGAGACAGCCCTGAAAGTATTCAGACTTTGCCAGTGAAAGTGTTGATGCTTTTTGTTGTTATAGGAAGCAATCACATGTATCCCTGGGAGATGAGGAGGGCCGGAACGATGGAAGGCTTTGGAGTGGGGTGGACATGGAGTTGGAGGAGCAGGTCAAATATGGAACATGGCAGAATGGACCAGACTTCTCACCGCAAGGGATGCAGGAGTCAGTAGTGGCCACCATGAGTCTGACTTTGGGCATGGGGGTACATTTACTGTGTTGGCAGTCCAGGAGGAGTCAGAGGTAATCTGGGGAAGAGAAGTGATCTGGTTTCAGTGTCTTTTGACTCAGGGAGGCTGGCAGGGCATCCAAGAGGGGGCATCCCAGTTGCTGCCTGTCTCTTGGTTTTCTTTAGTTCTGTTCGCAAAATCAGAGAGAAGCAACATCCTGTCAGAGGCTGCGGCTTCCCCTTTGGTCCCTCTGCTGGGTTTCCTCCAGCCCCTTGCCCTCGGGCAAGAAAGGAGCCAGCCGCGCAGTCTGGTGGGGGCTACAGGGCAGGCTCTTAACACAGCAGGGCCCTTTAGATGCTCCGCTACTGACAATCTCAGACCTACCGCCCGCCGGCATCTGTTCACGGAGACACAGCATCACAAACTCTCCGGACTGGAAGGGACTTTAGAGGTCATCCACGGCAGCCTCAGAGCTGGCACTTTCAGACTGTTCTAATAGCTTGAGAGTTCTTCCTTCTATTATTTGGAGACTGTTTCTTCGGACTTCCCCTTAACATGCTGTTAAAGATATGGGTCACTAGTGGAATCCTTGGTAAGGAGAAGCATGCTCAGGCTCATGTTTGTGGGTCTAGCAGTGAGGAGCGCAACAAAGGCCAAATTTGGGAACACGAATTCTTTTTGTCCTTCACATGACAGCTACAAGAATCGTCTCCATGGTTACAGCAGCTTCTCAGAGGTGTCTAGATTTCCATTTGCTATATTTCCCTAAATGTCTAATTTATGAATAATCTGTTTAGGTAACCTGCTGGAAAGTTTCTACAAATGTATGAATATCACGGAATATATATTTATATACATTCCCAACAACAACAAAAAGTAGGCTGATGGGCATTTTTGGAACACTTTTTTTTTTCTCCCATTAAAAATAGAAATTAGGATCAACTTAAAAATTTTCAAGTTAAACAAGATTCACTGCCTTCATGTTCTTCAAAGGCATGTGAGCCGGAGAGGGGTTGGAGCTAACCTAATTATGTTTCCTTTAATGTGAAATAGCTATTTGCCTGACATTCTATTTGCATCTCACCATCACATTCAAATAGCTGGGACATTGATTTTTTTTCCTAACATTCCCTTTGAACATGAAAGTGTTTTTTTTTTTTTTTCTTTCTCCTGCTTGTGAGAACTGTGATAAGAATGGATCGATAATTACATTGTTGGGTAAAAATGAATATAAATTTTATTGAAAAACAACACCAGCAACAATGAGGGGAAAGCATACCTAACAGCCAGTGGCCCACACAACTCAATGCACACGTTATGAAAAGTAATCACCTCTTCAAAGCTCCAACTATGCATCCAAATGAAAAGAAATGATCGACCTCGGATAAACTGACGGGGGACGCAGATGCACACCACCTCTCGCCTCTGAAAGCTTTGCCAACAGCAAAGGACGCTACCGTACTATTCGGCCCCCCGTTTGCTGTGGGCGATCCAGTGTATTTCAAGAATTAAACTGGTTTGGAAAGAACTGGATAGCATGGCAGCGAAGACCCCAGACCACTGAGAAAATTTTTCTACTTTTCCAGTCGTTTGAGAAGAGGATTTCACAAACTTTCTTGGCAACCTGTCCCTCCTGCTTAACAACAGGAAGTACTTCTTTATGTCTAGCCTAAATCCTTCATGCTTCAGTTAATCTATTTATTTCCTCTTAATCTCAGCAGGCTGTCAGGGGTTTGTCCTGGTGGGACAATGTAACATATGGGGAACACACAATGATCACAATCAGATTGAAGGCAGAGTCCAACTGCGCTGGTGGCGCTTCCAAAACAAGTCGAACAAAAGTTAATTGCAGTTGTGGTTGTCGCCCATTTCCCACTCCCCCACCCTCCCCGACCCTCTATGCCCTTCTGTGGCTTGAGGGCTGCCATCCTAGGACTTGCAGCAAAGGCTTTCTGAGTTCGATCAGTTCCAATTTTTCACTGACGTAGTAATGAATGTGGTTGAACTGTCCCATCCACTTCTACCCGATTTCCGGGTAAAATATTTTCAAACCGTTATCACGTTCTTCGCACCATGCCATGGTTCTTCGCACCATGCCAGGCAGTCCCCTTGCCTCGCCTCACAACTTGTGTGGAAACGACGTGCCCCACGTATACATGAGAAAACTCTGAGAAGCCACGAGAAGGCCCTCAGTGAATTTAATATAAACATCCCTGCCGCATTTTTTTCAAATGCTGCATAAAAACCCCAGCCTCACGGGAGTTTGCAGCACCTGCAGCTCCGCATATCGGACAGCAGGGGGCGCCCGTGCCATTCCACTGGCCGTAGAACGCCTCGATCGGGAAACAAAGATGGGGATTTGAATAAAAGACTTCAAAATGCAACCCCGAATTCTACCCTGAGCAACATGCGTGTAAAAATTCATGAAGATTGGATTTCACCTCATGTATTTTTACTTTAGTGGAAAGAAATGCAGGTGTTGTCTGTGCCTACAGCTGTCTTTACAAGGAGTGGGGCGGGGAGGCGGGCGGGGTGGGGGGGCGCCTGGTTAAATGAACAGGGAGGGGTTGCTGACGCTCCCAGGCGCTTGGAGAGGCTGGGCCACCGTCTCCTGCTTGGGACAGCTCCTGTTTTGCTGGGTGGCATCCTTTGTGTGCTCCAGAATGTATGGACTAATTATATTGTTTTGTAGAGGATGCAAGTTGCTCCCAGCAGGACTCGCAGCCAGCTCTGGGTCCAGTGAGTGACATGAGTCATAGAAGGCACTTATTATTTTGATGAAACACAGCACATTTCTTTCAGCCCATAAAATCAAAGGGGTGAGAAAAGGCTGTTTCCAGGGTGTAAAAACTCCTCTTGTTTCCCTGTCGTGGTGCACAGCGGTTCCGCCTCTGCAGCCTTTGTGCATTTTCCAGGCGTGAGTGACACAGTGCTGAATGCCTGGGTGGCAGAGCCTGCCAGCGGACGCTGGACACGGGCCAGAGCAGCTCAGCCCACCGTGGTGTACTGCCCTCCCGTTCCAGGGCCCCTGGCCTGGCGGAGGATGGGCCCCCTGAGACATTCCTCTGGACCGGGTCCACGCTGGGGGTGGTGGGGCTCTTTGTGGGGAGGGAACTTAGGGAGATGACAGACTGGAGTGTTGGGAGCCTGGAACTTGAAACAGGCTTGGGCAAGGACGGCGGCTGCCACCCTTGCTCCGGGACGGTTGGGCAGGGCTGCAGCCCCTGCACGAAGGATCGGCTGACACAGTACCTGGTTAAGTGCTCCACGAACATTCGTTGAATACGCAAATGTGAGGATGAAGGCAAGGAGGCCGTGAGGATCCCCAGCAGCTTTGGCCGTAGCTAGCCCAGGGCATCCGGAGTGGCAGCGCAGGGAGGGGAGTACTGGGCAGTGCTGGCTCTTCCGGGCCCAGGCCCTGGTAGGCAGGGCTGCAAGGCTGAAGAAACCAGGGGGGCAGGTGAGATCACCTGCAACCTCTCCATGTGCTGGGATGGTGCTGCAGCGGCTCTGCAGGGCCTCTCAGGGCCTCTCCATCCTTCCCGCCTGCCGCCCTCATTGGAGCCAGTCTTTCTTCTGTTGCCATGGCAACACTGGCCTGAGGTGCTGCTAAGGGCTGGCTGGGCAGGCTAGACTTCTCAGGCCTGAGCAAGCAAGGAGCTCTGGATGGGTCCCTACAGAAGGCAGACTCTGGCGGTCTCTCTTGAGAGGAAGGAAGGGACATGGGATAGAAATTGCTCCCAGGGCAGGTCGAGGTCCCCCAGGTGTGGCATTGGTGGTAGAGATCTTGGGGCTGGTGGGACCCTGCTATCATGGGGGTCCCCAGCACTGCAGCGTTCTTACTACTGCACCTGAAGTCTTTATTGAGGATTATTGCCAGGGGTCCCCATGGGCCCAGAAGCCTCCTGGGGTTCCCAGTGTGGGTTTCAGGTTGGGGCCTGAGGCACAGGCTCTGAGAGGGCCTGCAGGGGCTGAGTGAACTGCTGATAGACCAAGTAGATGGAATTAATCTCTCTGAGAGCAGAGTCGGGGTCTTACATCCTGAGACTAGGGTGGCAGGACTGCCATATATCCCTGCCTCTTTGGCCCCCACCCAGAACAACAAGTGCAGGCACTGGCTGCTCTCGGCCCTGAAGTCTCCCATGACGATTCTATTGCCACATTTCAGGCACACACAGGGATTGTGGAGGCCCTTGGCCCCCGGGCTAGCTGGGGGGCAGTTAGCTTCCTCTCTGCACCTTCCTTCTCAGGACTTGGAAGAATAAGCAGCAGCATCGGGAATGCAGGAGATGGTCAGGTCTGGAAAGAAGATGACAGTCTGACCTCCCCTGGGGTCCGAGAGTTGGTGAGAAGCTCTGTGCAGCTCCTGGGAAGGGGCTCGAGAACTCAGGATGACTCAGCCTCACGGATCACGCCCGCTTCTCTCTCCCCATCACGGGAAAGGTGTTTGGCCCCGGGCGGCATGCCCACACCAGCCCGAGAATAACAAGGACAGCACGAGAAGGGGGGGTGTCTGGGCAGTGAGTACAGTTACAATACCTTGGATTTACATAGCACCTTTGTCGTCTAAAGGGCCTTTGCCTCTGTCCCCTTGGCCACTGACATCGCAGCCTCCGGCGGAGCAGGAACACGAGGCAGAGGTCCAGAAGGGATTCCATGCAGACTCAGTGGTGTCCGGGCTCTGGGCGCGGCCCGGCAGGGGTGGGGGTGGCAGGCGGCCCTCACTGGGCGTTGACCTGGTACTTGAGGATGTAGGAGTAGAAGCTGTGGTTGGCATTCTCCAGCACCATGACGTACACCTCCCGGCAGCCTGCGGTGCTGCAGCTGCCCTCCCAGTAGCCCTCGGCGCTCAGGGTCAGTGGCCACGTGTCCTGCCCCTTCACCAGGGCTTTGGCGATGCCGTGCAGCTTCAGTTTGAACGGGACGTTGCGGTTGGCGGGCAGCACGCCTGACAGCGGCTCCAGCAGCTCATTGTCCACCCCCCAGTTGCCAAAGCTCTCGGGGAACACGGGCCAGTTCACCTTGGTATTGGTACAGCAAATGAGGTAATTGAAGACGAAAAGGTAGTTGCCCGGTTCCTGCCTCTTCTTGACGAAGATCTTGAGTGCAAACTTGCCGGCGTGGGGCAGCTGCACCTTCAGCTCCGTCCGCTTCTCCCGGTGCAGCTGGAAGATGTAGCGTCGCTGGGTCTCCTCGGTGACGGGGCCGTCGTCTCCGTGCAGCGAAGCCAGGACGCTGATGCCCTCCTCCACACCGAAGCTGACAGAGCAGCGCCCGTCGCTGGTGTAGATGACGGGCTCGGTGTGGGACGGCTTGGTGATGCCCATCTGCTCCGAGAACCAGCTGGGGCCCACGGGCTGGTGCAACTCAGCTGGCAGCTGGACGTCCATGTCTGCATAGTGGCACTTGAGCGTGTACTCCAGCACGGAGCTGTAGATCTCCGAGTTGCCCTTGGCAAAGATCTGCAGCTTGTGGTCGCCCGCGGTCGGGGGGTACACGTCCAGCTTCATCCCGTTCTTCCGGAGGCTCAGCAGCCCGTGCTCCTGCTTTCCATTGAGCATGAACATGAACTGTGTCGGAGCACAGCTCTCGATGGTGACCGTGGCCTTTCCATTCACTGTGGGGAGAGCCAGGGTCAGGTGAGAGCAGTCCGACCTGGGCTGACATGTTGGTAATCGTATAACAAGAGGATCTCTGGGCGGTGGTGGGGGGGAACCCTGACTTACAGCATCTGCCCATTTCCGTGGTGGGAATACCTTCACCCCAATAATTTTAAGCCACCAGCATGACCTCACTGAATACCATATAAGCCACTGGCAGCACACCTCTGGAAGGGTTCTCACCCCTCTGAGTGGTTCTCTTCGAGAACTGCAAGCTGCGGGTGGTGGGTCTCAAGAAAAATCTGCCTCCCGTCATATGTGCTGCTTTGCCCATTTGATTCATATCAGGCGAATGTTGCCAGGGGGCTTAACCTGATTCCAGGGCAGGGGAGAGGGCTGAGGGGCACGGAGGGCCCAGATCCTGGTTGGAGAGCCATCTCTGACTTTGCCTCCAAGTAGCAAGTCCTGCTTCACTCTGCTCCCTTCACAGCTGGAATGTCAACAAGCACCTTAAAAACTCGTTGGGTGCTTCCCTCCTGGAGACTGTGCTCCAGGGACAGAACTGCTTCCTTGCAGGTCCTCCCCGCACCCCCACCTCCACCCTCCACTCCAGGCCGCGCTTCCTGGATGGAGTCATCGGGTGCACAAGAGGATTGTGTGCATCCCACACATGCCTCGCCCCTTGACCTCCAGCGCTGTCTTCCTCTGTCCTAGTCATTGCTGTGGGGGACGGGGTGGGGGGGGGGTGTCAGTTCTCTGTTTTTACAGCCCACGGGCACGCCCCTCCCTGGTCCCTGCTGCTTTGCAGGACCACAGGGAGGGGCGCGGCTTCTCTGAGAACCTCGCCTTCCCTCCCTCAGAAGCTGATCACCTGCCCCTCCTCCCAGCCACCTCCGACTAGTGTCTCATTCACACCCTCTAGTAGCCTCTCCCCCATCAGGGTCCAGAGTTCCTGCTCTGGAGGCAGAGAGCCATGCTCTAGGATGCTGTAGGACGAGTGTCCCTGAGACTTCCCATCTAATCAGCCTCGAGGCCCAACTCCAGGGTGCTCAGTTACTGCGTTCAGTGCTACCTGCCATCTTGGGAGTGAGAATCCCCACATGGGGAAGGGGGCTCCACTGGCCTCCCCCGCATCCACCGCCTTCTTTATGGCTCCTCCAACCAGAAGATGTTCCCTGCCTTCTCAGGTGCTGCCGACGCCTCACCTACCTCTCTGCCCACACCCCTCCCTACTGCAGTTCCCTCCCACTCATTCAGCTCTCTGAAATCTGGCTTCAGCCCCCTCCTCCAGGTCTTCAGTGACTGCGTTGGAGGGTCTGGGCTGCTGATCATACATCCACCTTGCTGCTCGTCTTGCATCTACCACCCTCCCCAGCCTGGCCTCCCCACCGCCTCTGATTCCTCTCCTTTCTGTTACACTAAGGGTGGTATTCTTTATGCTTTTGTGCTATTTTCTTTGTGTACGCTCCTTCTCCACAGCTGTCAGCCACCATGAGACACGGTGACCTCAGAGGAAAGTGACCGAGAACGGCAAATCACTGTCACCTTCTCTCAGCTGGATCCCTCTTCGGGGGAAGAAGCTGCCTCAGCCCTCATGGATCCTGTCCTGCTCCATGTCACGCCCCAGCTGGGAATTGCAGGTCCCTGTGCAATTCACCTTTGATGCATGGAGGGCTCCTGGCATCTCCACATGGCAGCTTGAGGGCTCCTGAAAATATTTACCCAGGCACTCCGGGGCTCCCTCCTGTGGGTCACCATTAGACTGGAGGCCAGTGGAGAGACCTGTCCCCTCCTGCCTTGCCCGAGTCAGGCCCATCATCAGGCCCACATGGTTTTCCTGTACCTCCTCCAGGGGGACACCCCTTCATGTTCCAGGGCCCTCACGTGTGCTCACCATCCCCCACACCTGGCTAAGACCTCAAGGCAATGTTCTGACCACAAAGAAGGCTTTTCTGATGCCCTGGGGTAGGGCAGGCGGCTGAGTGACTTGGAAGCTGTTCCCCTGGCCCTCCCTCTCCTCCAGGGAACTTAGCAGTATAATAATGTATCAGGGATGGGTAATGTGGATTCTCCTTGCTGGGTGTGGGTGCCACAGGGAAGGGCCCACCTGTCTCCTTTCCTGCCATGTCCTGGGCCTGGCTGGGGTGCCCAGCTCAGGGGGTTCCTGGCCAAGGTGAGCTGAATGGCTGGGAAGGCTGGAAATAAAGGATCGGAGACCCCTGGGACTCTGTTAGAGCCTGTGACCTCCTCCTCCTCCCCTCATTTCTCCTTCACCCTCTCACTATCCCCTCCTTGCATTTAGCCTACCTGTTTCCCTCTCTGCTTCATCTCCACTCTTAAGAAAACTAGCTCTGGCAAAGAACTATTCTTTAAATATGCTTCATGAATATGCAATCAAATTTTAGGTTTACTGTATATTCAGAAACTCAGTGTTTACATTTCTTTGTCTCTTAAAGAGGCAAACTCCTTGGTGGCACTGTTTCGACGTCAGTGTGACCTGGCGTATTCCCCCCTGTGGCCCCTGCTGGCTGGAGCAGCCCCTGTCTGACAGGCACGCATGGGGCACAGTCTCTGAGACAGCAGCTTCACGCTGTTATTTTAGCAGCAGGAGGCATTCGTAGTTTTAAAAATTATCCCAGAGCTCGGCAGCCTGGTTATGGAGACCGTTGTGAGGTTGAAGGGAAGGATCGGCTGGGACTAACATGGGTGGGGTCACCTGAGTGTGGGGTGGGGCTCCCCCACGGGCCTCCCAACAGACCCAGGTGAGCTCTGGCCTTCTCTCCTGGAGCACGCAGGCAGCCCTCGGTGGGAGTGTGGGGGTGCACTGACCCCACTGTGCTGAGCCCTAACTGTGGTGCTGCCCCTCTGGGGACCAGCTCCCAAATGCCTCCCAGTTCACATCCAGCTGCCCATGGCCCCTGTGGAGAGATGGGGGGCGAATGCCAGTCCAGGCCATCCTTGGGGACAGCTAGGGGTCCCGTATGCCCAGCCCCGGGGAAGTTGCCTGGAAAAGGCTGGCTCTGCCTGCAGGCAAGAAAGAGGCAGACGGACAGGCATCCAGATGGCAGGGGGAGCTCTCAGAGGCTGGGCTGCGTCCCTGGAGCCCAGCCTTCATCTGGGGCACTTGAGCTCAGTTGTGGGAGGCCTGCTGGGTCCTCCCTGAAACATGTCCGTCCCTGCCTCTCGTGGTGCCTGCTCTCCCCCAGCTCCCAACACTCTGCTGCTCGGCAGCCACCCTCCTTATAAAGCACTCTCTCCTGGGAGACCCCCACTGCTCCCCCACTAGTTCCTTAGGCCACTGGCATGCAGAACCCGGCCCAGTTTGGCCAACACATGCTTCCTGCCAGGAGTTTGGGGCCTCCCAAATGGCATTAGTAGTAGAGAACCCGCCTGCAATGCAGGAGACACAGGTTCCATCCCTGGGTCAGGAAGATGCCCTGGAGGAGGGCATGATAACCACTCCAATATTCTTGCCTGGAGAGCCCCATGGACAGAGGAGCCTGGAGGGCTACAGTCCACGGGGTCTCAAAGAGTTGGACGTGACTGAAACAACTTAGCATGCACTCACCAGGAGTTTAGGAGCTTCTGTCGCACAGCTGACCTGGAAGGTGGCTGAAGCCAGGCTGAAGCACTCCCTTCCCTGTTGTGTGAGCTGAGAGCGGCTCCCCCAGCTTGGGTCCACTAGCCCTGGTTCCCCAACGTGCCTGGCTGAAAGCTCAGCCCTCCGGAGCTGCACACCCCTGTCTTGGTTTATGCTGGTGGGAGGGGCTCTGTCCTTGTAAACGTGACCTGCGGCTGCATCTTGCCCTGATGACCCGATGGCCTGATGGCCTAGGTGGCCTCAGCCGCCCCTGCACAGCCCCCACATACCGCTTCCGCTGAGCTGGGCACTGGCAGGGCAGCCCATGAACCCACGGGCCCCGGTTACCTGTTTTGATGATGGAAGTCTGCGGCTGGGCGCTCAGCATCCCCTTGTTGTAGAACTCACTCTTGTGATACATGTTGTTCTCAAACTGCCTCAGGGACTGAGGGGGTTTGAGCAGTTGCCAGTTCTTGTTGTCTGGGAAATGGTCCTCGATGAACAGTGCAGGGTGGGTGAGGAAGTAGAATTCGTTGTAGCTGGAGGGGGGACGGCTGGTCAGAAGCCATGCTGCGCCGTGCAGAGGGGCAGGCGGGGCTCACAGGGGGTCTTTGGGGCCTTCTTTAAGGTAAGACATGGGGGGGTCCTACCCACAACCCAACCGGAATAGGCACCATCTCCAACCCTGACGTGGGCGTGGCAGATGCCCCCTTAGTAGCTGCTTCCAGAAATAGGAGACAAAGCAGGATCTGAGACCCCCTTTGAAGAGAAGGCCACCACCCTGGCAGTGCGTGTCCAGGCAGAGAATGGGTTCCCCCTGCTCTCAAAAACAAAGGGATCTGAAGGGAGCAAAGCCAGGACCCAGGGAACACGTGCCAGTGGCGTGGAGGGAGGGCAGGCAGGGAGACTGGGGAGCCAGCTCCATGTCCTCCGTGACCTGATATGGGCAGCTGTGCATGGGGAAGGCCCTGATGTGGTCCCCGGGACCGGCTAGACGCAGCTCTCTAGAGGTCAGTGATGGGGATCAGGAGAAGAAGAGGGGACTCCTCCGAGATGGGAGAGCCTTCACTCAGCCCCAGGCAGGCAGTGCTCAGAGCTGATGGAGCAAAGGAGGGTGTGACTGACAGCTCCTCCCAGTATGGGCTGTGTGTACCCACTGTGTCTGCCCCGCATGCAGGGCTGTCAGGATTTAAACTGCACAAGTGGGGCAGCACTCTCATTTTTCTGGATGAAGAAGCATTTGAGCTGCTGATGGACATCAAGCTGTAGCACGAATGTCATGGCCTAGGCTAAGGCCAGAGCCTTGGAGGACAGACGTGCTCCAGACCTGCCTCCCACCCACTCTGCCCTGCAGGGCCCACAGGGATGCTGGGCACCCTGACACCCCTTCCCACAAACCAGACCCCCTCCCTCAGAGGTGGGATACAGCTGCATTTACACCGGAGGGGAGGAGGAGAAGCCCTGGTATCTGGGAGAAGCAGTAGGAGAGAATCCTGGCATCTCAAATAATAACACAGTCAATGGCCAAAGGCCCGACTATGAGTCTCTGGTGTCTCAGAAGGTAAAGAATCTGCCTGCAATGTAGGAGACCCTGGTTCGATCCCTGGGTTGGGAAGATCCCCTGGAGAAGGAAATGGCAACCTGCTCCAGTATTCTCGACTGGAGAATTCTATGGACGGAGGAGCCTGGCAGGCCACAGTCCATGGGGCAGTAAAAAGTCAGACACGACTGAGCGACTAGGCTTTAAAAGGCTGACAGGAACCTCCAGACACTTCAAGGAGCTTCTCAGCCCTGCCTTTCTTGGCACTTGGCCTGTGGGCAGACACTGTGCTTTTAGCCCTTGGGTGGAGGAGGAGTGCTGGGGAGCCAGAGGGGGGACTGAGACAGTGAAGGGTGAGGTGACAGAAAGGTCTGGGCTCTTGTCACCAGCCTGGAGCTAGCTCGCCCCTGAAGCCAGAGGAAGGGGGTGAGGGCCTGCAGCACACAGAGGCGCCCAGCTCTCCTTCCCCTTCCACTGGCCTTCTCCACCGCTGCCTCCTGCAGGCTCCTGCCTCCCCTGTCTCCCCCCGCAGACCCCCGCAGAGCTGAGGTACTCACAGGAAGGTGAATTTGGACGTGGAGGAATCCACCAGGCCACTGCCCCAGGTGCTGTCCACCAGGTGCCACCTCCCCTCCAGGAACACGGCATTCCAGGCGTGGTCGAACTCCCCGGAGAAGCTCTGCCCCGGCTGGTAGCCCAAGCCCTTGGAGTAGCCAGGCACGGTCATGCACTGCACTCCAGCGATCCTGGGGCGGGACACGGGCGCTGAGAGGCGGCTCCTGCCGGGCCCCGCGGCCCCGGGTCTGTCTGTCTGTGGTCCTGCCTGGCCTGTCTGCTGTCAGTCCCTCCACACCTCTCCTATTCCCTGCCTCTCACCCAGCCACACACACACAGCCTGAGGGCTTTTATCTGCAGAGGTGGGGGCGGGGGGCGACACAGGCTGGCTGGCCCCCCCACCTCCGGCACAGACAGACTGGCCGCAGCCTCCTCCTCCAGCCTCTACACAGCCCTTGGGACTGCCTCCCCCCTGAGTCGACCTGGGGGCTGGCAGCTGCAGGAGGACACTGGTGCAGCAGCGAGTTCCGCCTGGTGAACGTGGAAACCAGGGGCATGACAGTGAGCTGGAAAAACCAGAGTGACTCTAGACACGCTGCTGGGGAGCTGGGTCTAGGTGACACCTAGGTGTCAGGGAGGGGTGCTGGATAGGAGGGTGCAGGAGGAAGCTGAGCCCACCTCCCCTCCACGTCCAGCCCACGGACAGCTGTGGGAGGACCCCTGGGGCAAGCTAGCTGGGGTCCCTGCCTTGACCTGGGGAGGGCGGGCCCACTGCCAGGACTACCATGGTGCATCAAGGCTATTTTCTGACTAAATGCCCTGGCCGTGACTTCAGAGTACCTGATGGCTGTCATTCCAGGGAGTGGAAATGACAACCGGTCAGCCAAGCTTTTATCAAGACCCCTTTGACAACGCATTCCCCCAATGCTCGCAACAAGCTGGCCTGGACAGTGGCGGGTGGGTGCTGGTCACCTCTGGGTACAACACAGGCAAATGATACATGCACTGGGCGCATGTAGCTGAAACCCTGAGGCTCAGACCCAGGCTGTGGGCACCACCCCATGGCCACAGCAAGCACCCTGAGAGTCCTGCCATGGGCAGCTGGCCCTGCCCTCCAGCAGCCCTGCCCCCCTCATGGCAGTCGAGGGATGGGCTGCTCTTCTGACCCAGGGGACCTCCTGTGCGAGCCTTTCTGGGGCCTTTGTATGAGTGAGAACAAGGGACTCCTTTTCCAAGACCCTTTCCTTTCACTGTGGGAGGCTGGTGTAATCAACACCCAAACCCAGGATATCCAGGATGTTTGCACCAGCCCCTCAGAAGAGGTTCAGCATGAGCTGTCTGCCGACTCCGCCCTCCCCTCCCATGAACCAGGGGCTGAACCGGGGCTGGGCCTCTATCAGGGAAGTGCCTGGTGGGGTCCCTCCAGGAGCAGATCTGCAGCCTCAGTTGCTCTAAACAAGAGGCCATGGAGCCTCAGGGTAATAGGGTGAAATGGCCACAACATAGGCACGGGGACAGAAATCGGACATTATCCATATAAAAATGAATGTTTAATGAGCAATTAGCAGAATATTGGATAAAATATGACTTATCTGCATTTACATATCACTTGTTGAGAGAGTGAGTGGGGCAAGATGTGGAGCTTGCAAATCACCAGATTCCACCCTGTCAAGGGCGACAGTCACGTCCCCACAAGGCCTGAACTCCCCTCTCCTGCCCAGTGGCAGGCCTGCCCTGCCGAGAATCCTTATGGGCTGGGAAGTTTTACAGCCACCCCATGCCCCTCACCTCCCATGCCTTCTGCCTGCCGCTTCACAAAAGGAGGTCCAGGCTCCCCAGGCTGTCAAAGAAATCCCATGAGAACAGACCAGCTGGGCCCGTGGGAAGGATTTTGGAAGCACTTGGGGGTGTGAGCAGAGAGCAAGAGAAAGTAGATCCCATGTCAGGATTCTGCGGGTGAAAGCCAACACTGACTTCGGGAGCAGAAGGGGCCCCCCAGAGGCAGGAGGCCCAGCATGGGTAGGTCCAGAAGCCCAGAGTGGGGGCAGGGGGAAGAAGCAGGCATACCAGGACAGCCCCCTCCTCCTGTAGCTACAATGGGGTGCGAGGCCCAGGGGGTTTGTTCTCAGGAGGTGTGATCTGAATGAGTTTGCAGTCTTAGAGAAAAAAGGCCTCTAATACTTAGAGGTCTTTTAGACCCTCCCTTTAGAGAGGGGAGAAAGTGAAAGAAAGTGAAAACGCAGTGAAAGTGCAGTTGCTCAGTCATGTCCGACTCTTTGCGATCCTATGGACTGTAGCCTGCCAGGATCCTCGGTCCATGGGATTTTCCAGGCAAGGATACTGGAGTGGATTGCCATTTCTTTCTCCAGGGGCTCTTCCGGACCCAGGGATTGAACTCCAGCCCCCAGCATGGCAGAGACACCAAGGAATCCCTGAGAGGGGAGGGGTGCATGCAAGGCCTGAGGGGTGGGATGCAGGTGCTGGGATGGGTGGGGCCTTCCATTGGAGGGATGGCTCCACATACTCAGAGTGGATAGGAGAAGGAGTGTGGTGAAAAATATTTAGCGAGGTGAGAGATGCTCCTGACATATTCACTGTTAATGGACAACCTTCTACAAAACCCCATCATCAGCACGATCCTTGAGTGTGTGTGTGTGTGCGTGTGTGTGCGTGTGTGTGCATGCATGTGGGTGTGTGCATGGAGAACCAGAGAGAGAGGGGGAGGGCAGAGTGAGAGAGACAGCGCAAAAGTCATCCGGTCTCTTAGTGATAGGATTTGGGGTGATTTTAATTTTCTTCTTTAAGCTTCTCTCTATTTTTAAAATTTTCAATAATGATTATGTGCTGCTTTTCGAATTGGAAAAAAAAAATCCATAAGTGCTACTTGAAAATGACACTTTTAGTGAGTTATTTTCCTTTCTTGGCCAGAACGTTGGTGCCTATGAATTTCTAGGACTGGAGGAGGGAGAAGTGAGTGGCTGGCACGTGGAGGATGGGGAAGGGGCCACTTCATAGGGAGGGGAAGGGAGCTATGGTCCTCAGGAGCATGCTTGTCCTCTGCTCAGAGCCATCTGACATCAAGGGAAGGAGGAGAGGCACTGAGTTCCCACGTGGCCTCCAGGTGCTACGATAAAGATGGGCTGGTGCTGATGTGGGTAGAGGGCTGGCTTGAGCTAAGTGTCCTCCTGGGAGAAGCCGTGGCTGGGCAGAGGTATCCTCCCACCCAGAGACAAACTGGAGGTCAGATTTGAGCACAAAGTCAGGGAATAAGGGTGAATGCCCCACCCTGTGCCTGGGAAGGACTGGAGGAGGGAGAAGGGAGTGGCTGGATGTCCTCCCTGAGGGCTGGGGCTGGAGGGCGTGAGACTGGGCTGGGTTGAGCCAGGAGAACCCGCTCACTCCATTGTGACCTTGCCAGGCTCATCACGGGCAAAACGAAAGGTTGCCGTTAAATGATCTCTAGGGGTTGATTCTCCACTGACGGGCAGAGGAGAAGCTGGGAGGGCCGTGGGGAATGCCTGGGGCAGAATAAAGATGAAAAAATCCCCTCAGCGGTAAGCTTCTGCCATGCTTGACTATGATATGAGCATATTTTATTACCTGGCAGCAGTGTGCAAGATAAATTGGACAAAGCAGTCATAATGTAAAGCATTATTGTTAATAATCCATAACTCTCATGCAAAAATGTGGAACTAGTTATTCTAGCTGCTGGTTGCTGGTCAAGTGACCCACTACCACCTCAGGTCTTCAAAGATTGTTGACTGTGCACCCTCTGTGCAAGACACTGTACAGGTGGTAATATCCCCTGTATGATATAATATCCCATATCATACTATGTAGAAATATAAGAAATACTATAACATAATAGATTATGATGCTCTAAAAATAAAGCTCACTGGCCACCCTAGATGTTCTCGTAGTAGGAAGAGAATGAATATGTGAACCATCACAAAAATGCTAGTGATAAGCATAGCTCTCGGGCTTCTCCGGTGGTCAGATGGTAAAGAACCTTCCTGCAACGTGGGAGACCTGGGTTTGATCCCCGGGTTGGCAAGATCCCCTGAAGTAGGGCATGGCAACCCACTCCAGTATTCTTGCCTGGAGAATCCCTATGGACAGAGGAACCTGGCAGGCTACATCCATGGGGTCACAAAGAGCTGGACACAACTGAGCGACTAAGCATACAAGCATAGCTCTTCCGGGAAACCCAAAGGGGGAGGAATTTGGTGGAAAGATCTGAGAGAGCACTGAAGAAATGGCAGAGGATGAGAAACGTTTCTACCTCTTAAAGAACCCCGACCAGCCATCCTAGAGCCCAAAATATCAGCCAAGGAGATGTGTCTAATAACCTCAGGCTACAGAGTCTTGGTTTTTACTTTTGACAGTTTGGAAAACCTCAGCGCCAGGGGTAATACTGAGGAGACGATGGATCCAGACTGTGACTGTCACTTCAAATAGCAGAGTGCTCAGGGCTGGTGCACTGGGATGACTCTGAGGGATGGGATGGGGAGGTGGAGGAGGGGTTTCAGGATGGGGAACACATGTACACCCAAGGCTGATTCATGTTAATGTATGGCAAAAACCAATACAGTATCATAAAGTAATTAGCCTCCAATTAAAATAAATACATTAAAAACAAAATCAAAAAACAGTGACAATCCAGGCCCCAGCAGTAGGATGGCTGAGCGGCCTGGGGTGGACGGTGACCCCACACACATCAGCCCCTGACCACAGTGGGCTTCCTTAGCTCTGACCACTTCTCCCTGCATGTCTGGGCCACATGGGAAAGAGGGAGGGTGGAAAGGATGAGACCTGTAGGAGAGGTAGCGAAGCATGCTCTGTTTTCCTGTCTTGAGGGAAACACTGTGATTTCTAACAGTAAAATTAGGAAACATGGTTTCATTACCTTTAAGCCCAATGGCCAGTTTAACTGGGCAAACACATGAATTAGAATTTTTAGGGCCTGCAGTTCCCAAAATGGCAACCCACTCCAGTGTTCTTGCCTGGAGAATCCCAGGGACGGGGGAGCCTGGTGGGCTGCTGTCTCTGGGGTTGCACAGAGTCAGACACGACTGAAGTGACTTAGCAGCAGCAGTTCCTAAAATGGTCCTCAAGAAGGTCACAGCAAACAAATTTATGGTTCCCAAAGGGGAGGGAGGGAGAAATCAAGTAGGAGTTTGGGATTAAAACATACACACTACTATATATAAAATAGATAACCAACAAGGCCCTACTGTATAGCACAGGGAATTATATTCAGTATCTTAAAATAACCTATAATGAAAGAGAATATAAAAATGAATATATATATATATATATGTATAACTGAATCATTCTGCTGAACACCTGAAACTAACACCACATTGCAAATCAACTATATTTAAATAAAAACTAAGTATATATATATAATTCCAAAACAAAAGTGAAAGCAAAAGTCACTCAGTCGTGTCCAGCTCTTTGCAACCCCCTGGACTATACAGTTCATGGAATTTTCCAGGCCAGAATACTGGAGTGGGTAGCCTTTCCCTTCTCCAGGGGATCGTCCCAACCCAGGGATTGAATCTGGGTCTCCCGCATTGCAGGAGGATTCTTTACCAACTGAGCCACCAGGGAAACCCAGTTTGTGGTTTCTACACTGCAGCATGACATGCATAACCATGACTTATGTTTCACAGTTTATGTAGTTAATTTGTTATAAATTTGGCAGTTTATATTTCTGCTATATGGTCCTCTTCTCCTTTCCTTATGCCACTCCCCCGCTCACAGTGAGGTCAGTAACTGTAATCATGGTAATAATTCTCACTCCACAGGCCTGTTAGAGCCTTTGGAGGTTGACTTCAGGGTCTCCTCTCTGACAAGTGTGGAGTCAGCAGTTCAGAGAGGGAGGCTGACTTGCCTAGGGACACACAGAGGGCTTGAGGGCATGGCAGTGCCAGGGCTTGTGGGTCCTGATGCCCAGTTCAGTAGGATCTGCATTGCACCAGCCTTTTTGTGCAGCAAGATTTATTTCAATCCATAAATTTCCAGGTGGTATACAGAGTAAAATTAAAGACTGCTTTGCCATAGTGATGCAATTCATCTTCATGAGCACTGTCCTTTGGTGTATCTAAAAGGGTGGTGGGGTTGAGATGTTCCTTTCAGAGGCCATATAGGATGGAGATAATTTAAGGTTATCCTGTATATCCAGCCTTCAGGGCCTCTGGAACCAAGTGATGTTCTGGGATCGTCCGGGACATGATGTGGAGCAGCATACTGCTGTGACAGCTGGAAGATGCATGGGAAACAGACTGACATCTGATTGGTGACAGCCAGTCTCCTCTGCATCAAAGCCTGAAACTGGTAATAAGCTCTTAGCTTTGTCAAAAGTCCCTGGAAAATCTGCTAGCTGGTGGTGTTAGCATCCTGGTAACAGGGGAAGAAATTGCACTGGAGGCTGACTTGCTGGCAGAATTCTGGGGAATTAAGCATGACCCTGGCAAAGAAATGAAGTGGAATTTGTGAAGGCTGTCGGGGAACTGAGGCAAAAGGAGAGGCGTGATTGCTGGACGAGAGAACGTCACAAAGCAATTGGACCAGCAGTTACAAGCAACAGCGCTAACAAAAAAGGCACACTGGTTACTTGAGAAAGACGATGAGGAAATGAATGATGTTGCAAAAATATCTGAATTCCCCACCAAATTACTTTATTAAATCAGTCTTTAATGAGGCCATTGCAAGGAGGCAGACTGGACTGGTAGAAGTAATGCTAGCTATGTGGACACAACTCTTGCTAAGAGGCCACTCTGACAACTAAGCAAGGATAAATCAGCAAGTGTGGATTACACGTCCTTGGTTATTAAGGGATCTGCTAATGAATTTACCAAACCTTCAGCAGTTATTTTAAAGAGAAGAGGACTTAGGAAAGACACATGGCTGAGGTTACTGATCTTTAAAGCCAAAGTTAAAGGAATTCAGAGAACTGTGAGCTATTGTTAAATATCCCAGGCTATGTGGAGAGTATTTCACAGGGTAACTGCCAGGTGGGAACATAACTTTAAATGATGCAAAACGTTGGTCTTTTAATGATCAGCTGCAGGCCAGAAAGTGGCCGCCGTTAAGCCTCTGGACCAGGCCAAAGAGTTGACGGTTCCACTCAATGCCAATGTCAATTTTCTGAGCCTATGTGAGTCTATGTGGTCTGTAGGAAAGTTCTACAGAGCAAAGACACTCCAATACTGAGAGGACAGGGAGGGTTAAAAATAATATCTCCCAAGTTCTCCTTTAGTCTTGCCAGTAGGCGATGGGGTCCCCTGTGTACAGATGAGGAAACTGAGGCTCCCAGAAGCTTAGTGCCTTCCAAAGGGAACAAAACTAATGAGTGGGGCATTAAGAACTGGAAATCAAGGACTCGTAAACTAACTGAGGCCTGGAAGAGTCCTTCTTGCTGTGAATCTGGCAGTCCTTCCATACCATGCTAGGAAGACTTCTACTGGATAAAAAAAAATATACTCTGTGACTTAAAACCCAAGTGTTTTCAAATTTTCAAATTAAGAGGAAAATAATTACACTCTGAAGGATGCTAGGTTCAAATAGAGCTGAGCACAGATGGAGGGTTATTCCCCTATTTAAAAAGAGAAGGTCCACTCATGCAAGTCTGCGAGGAATATCCTCTCATTTCCTGTCACTGAGGGCCTACTGTGTGTAGGATTCTGAGACGGATGTTCAAAGGGAAAGAAGGGGGTGGGTGGAGACATGAAGACATGTAAAACCTATAAGAAGAAATGAGCATAGGCAAAGCCTACGTGAGAGAACAAAGTCCAGAAGGCAATAGGACAAAATGTTAAGTGTTCTCTAACTGGTAGGATTCCGAGTAACTTAATTTTCTTCTGTTTTCTTCTATGCACTTTGTAAATCACCTATAGTTAAGTTTTATTTTTAATTTAGAAAAGTGATTAAATAAAAGCCTGAGCAGGACCTGGGCTGGTGTATAGGTTTGTTGACGGCATCTGGGGAAGGAGAGGTGGGGCCTGAAGAGCATTAACGCGAGGCTAGGCAAGTGGATGGAGCAGGATTAGCCAGAAGTGCGGGCAGTGGCAGAGGGGACAGGGCTGGAAGGGAAGAGAGGCTGCAGTTCGGAGGACGTTATGGGGACAGTGTGAGCTTTTAGTCTTGCTCAGAACCTAGGGCCCAGGAGCCAGGGCAGGGGGCTGGTGAGGACCCTGGTCCCTGGAAGCCCTGACTGTATGTGGGGTGCCTGGGTCTGGGGTAGCGTGGGAATGTCTGTTGAGGGGTGGGTTGCAGAGGGCTTGGCATCCTCTTCCCGCTGACCCTCGGGTCTCCTCTGGGGCTGTGGTCTCAGGGGTGGGCTCGGAGGTAGGGGCCAGAAGAGCAGAGAGGGAACAGAAAGGATGGAGCAGCGTGTCTGTGCTGGGTGGTGGTGATGAGGGTGGGAGCCTGGAGGGCTGGGGGTCAGGCCCGGAGTGGATGGTGTGTCCCCCTGGGAGCAGGACATCCTATGGCCGTGGTACAACACTGTCACACCACTACCTGCCTGTGGGCACTTTAGTTATTGTATTTACTCTTGGTTTGATGAATTGCCTCCTGCAGTCCTGGTCGGCTGACGCTTGGGAGCCTAAGAAGACTCGCTCCCAGAGGCCCACACAGGCAGTGGGTGCAGTCAGTCTACCCCCTCCCCCCAGGGGAGGGGCGTTGCAGTGGCCTGCAGGGCTGGCTGATTGTTCCCGAACGAACATGGCCGAACCTTGACAGTGGGCACACGAAACTGTGGGGTCAGCTGTTCCCCCAGCCTGGAGTCTGTCCCCAGGTCACACAGAACCAGCAGTGAGGTCTCCAAACAGCAATGCCTTCCCTACCAGAAACTCGCCTGCTCTCACCACCTCTGCGTTGCCCCTGCTCCTCCCCACACCCCGATCCAGGCATCCTGGCCAGGTGCTTGCTCCCAGAGCAATGGAAACATAGCCCAAAGGCTCTAAGAGACGAGTTGCTGCCTAGTGATTCAGCTTTTCCAACGGACAAATTTTTTTCAGGTGGGGGGACTTTTGTTCTCCCAAGAGGCCCCTGTACCAGCCCTGAGGACAGCCTTTCATAGTCCTCTTGGCACCTGCAGCCATGGTCCTGGCATTCCCAGATCTGCCATTCTTCTAACCTTCAGCTGCACAGAGATGGGAGAAGGTGGAAAAAGGGCCTTTTATAACCAAATTATCTCTGTGCATTCATCTGCCATTATGTTAATGTATCGCGAAGCCCGGCAGATGGTACAAAGTCAATTAAGCTGGTGTTAAAAAGGGAGAAATTGACCTTTTCAAGACTCACTTGGATTCAGAGCAGAGTTTGCAAACTCCCATTTCAGGCCCAGTGCGTGGGTGAAGGCACAGGGCAGGTGGCAGGGGGAGGTGCTGGGTCAGGGTGGTCAGCCTGGGACCTCTTTGTACCTGCACATTCTCTCAAAGAGCCCAGCGTAGCCGTCACAGTTGGTCTTCTGGGTCTGCAGGATGGCGGTGGGTTTGAAGGCCTGGCGGTCCTTCTCCTGGGCAGCCTCGATGTCGTATTCTGGAGAGCAGAGGAGGTGGCTGTGAGGAACCAGGTCCTTGGAGATGAACAGGCTGGTGCAGAGGAGAGAGGGGTCCACCCCACTGCCCCCGCCCTCTGCTCTGCTTCCAGCATCACGTGGGCTGGCCTCCCTTGGGCCCAGGAGAGGCTGCTGTAGACTGAAGGGAACAGGGCCCCAGGCTGGGCGGTAACTGGGAAATGTGCCCTTGGGTGGTGGGAGGAAGAGCAAGGCCTTGGCAGAAGGGGCCATCTGGCTCTTCAGGTCTCTGAGGAGGGGCTGGGAGGGGAGAGACCAACACATCTCTTGGGCAGTTGGGGGCTCTGCCCACGTGTCCCCACGAGCGCGCAGCTCTGTAAGCAGAGCCAGTGAGGCTGCGCCCCCTCTCCTGCTGCAGCCCCAAGGCCAGGGCCTCACACTACCACAGGGAGCACGCCGAGTTACTGGTCACACTGGTCCCAGAGAGGAGACAGGCCACTTTACGTGCTCAACAAGAGAGCCTAAGGCCTGTGTGAGGCCTTGAGGCAGGAATCACTGTGGCCTTTGAGGGCACAAAGGGAGTGTGTGTGCCCATGTGTGCCTGTGGGGGTGTGTGTGTATGTGTGAGGGTGTGTGTGTGTGTGTGAGGATATGTGTGAGGGTGTGTGTGTGTGTGAGGATATGTGTGAGGGGGTGTGTGAGGATATGTGTGAGTGTGTGTGAGTGTGTGTGTGTGTGTGTGTGTGAGGGTATGTGTGTGTGAGGGTGGGGGCAGCACATAAAGTCGTAGATGTTCTGATTCCCATCCTGCTCCCTTATTAGGCCCAGGCTGAACTGCTGAGGTTGACGTGGCAGACAGTGGCTCTTCAGGTCCTGTGGCCAGATGGCCTACCTGTGTCAGGTGAGTTCCTCCTCTAAGCTGCATCCCTAACTGCTGCTCTGGGAGGACAAAAGGAAAGCCCAGTGACAGCAGGCAGGAGATCTCCACTGGTCGCTATGTCACAGGGGAGTCACTAGAAGTCCATCCTGCCACTTGGCTTCTCCACGGACTGTAGGAGACAGCAGCCAGCTTCCCCTTTGCAACCTCCTGGGGCTTGGCCTGAGCTGGTCAGTCTGCAGAGGGGACCCTGTGCAGAGCTGGGGGCAGCTGAGGGCCCCTGGCTCTCAGAACTTGGAGACCAGGCTGAGAGTGGTGGCAAGGTCACTGGTGTGGGAGTAAGGAACAGGCAGAGGGGTGCCCACCCTTCCTGGCATGGATGCTTTGAGAAACCTCTGGTGCTGCAGTAACTTTTCAAACACCTTTGACTCATCCCCAGCCACCTCCTTCCTGGAGATGACCTTCTGCTCCGGGTTCTCATCTCTGTGGAGCAGGTCGACCAGGAAGGGAGGACAGAGGGAAGGCTGTGGCTGGGTGAGGGGCCTCAGCTCTGGCTGTGGGCCAAGGGCTGGTGGGATCCCCACCCCTGGCCCTTCACCGAGCACACAGACTCAGGGCAGTAAACATGGACAGCTGGTGCATATGAGTTAACCTTCCTTAGTCTGGTTATTGAACCTTGGGAGCCCTTCTCCTCCACCTTCCATCTTACTGCACACACACTGGTGATGGAATTAGGCCCAGAGATGCTCCTCTGGGAACAGTGTCTCATAGCCAGTGGCCCCACAGGCGGGCCTACCTATATGGTGGCAGATCCAGATCCAGATGGCACGGACAATCTCCAGGTCACTGTGGGCCTCCTGGAGCAGGTCGCTCACCAGCTCCTCGAGGCCGCTCTTGACTGTCACCTGGGGAGTGGGAGGGGTGTGCTATATCAGGGCCTGAACAACTGGATATCCATATGCAAAAGAATGAAGTTGGACCCTCTACCTCATACCATGTAAAAAATTAACTCAAAAATAATCAGTGACCTAAATATAAGAACTTAAACCATAAAACTCCTAGAAGAAAACACAGGGGTAAATCACCATGACTTTGGGTTTGGCAATGGATTCTTAGATATGATGCTAAAAGCATGGGATACAAAAGAAAAAATGGATTAATTGAGCTTCATAAGAATAAAAACTTCTAAGCATCAAAGGACAATATTAAGAAAGTGAAAAGATAACTTACAGATGGAAGAAAATATTTGCAAATAATGTATCTGATAAAGGTTTAATATCTAGAATATACAAAGAACTCCTGTAATTCAACAATAAAAGCAAACCCAAATTTAAAATGGGCCAAGGACTTGAATATACAGTTCTCCAAAAATATAGATGTCAATAAAAATATAAAAAGATGTTTATCATTAGTCACTAGAGAAGTGCAAATCAAAACTACAGTGAGATACCACCTCACACCCACTAGGATGACTGTAGTTTAAAAAAAAGTAGGCAATCATGCACACAAAAAAGGCAAAAATGTGAAGAAATTAGAACCCTTGTACATTGCTGGTGGGAATGTAAAGCAATGAGGCTGCTGCGGGAAAGTTTGGTAGTTCCTCAAAAATTCCAACATGGAGTTACCATGTGACACAGCAATTCCACTCCTAGGTATATACACCCCCAAAACAAAGACAGATCCTCAGATACTTGTTCACCAGTCCTCCTAGGGGCAATATTCACAATAGCCAAAAGGTAGAAATAATGTAAGTGGCCATCAGAGATGAATGGATAACCAAATATGGTAAATCCAGGCAATGAAATATTACTCATCCATGAAAAGGAATGAAGTTCTACATGTTGCAACTTGGATGGACCTTGAAACCATGATGCTAAGTGAAACAAGTCAGACACAAAAAGACAGCATATGATTCCACTTACATGAAATACTAGATAAATTCACGGAGACAGTAAATAAATTAGAGGTTGCCAGGGGCTGGGAGGAGAGAGAATGGGGAGTTATTGGTGAATGGGTACAAAGTTTCTATTTAGGCTGATTTTGGAAGAAGACGATAGTGATGGTTGTCCAACACTGGGAGTGTAACTAACGCCACTGGATTGTACACTTAAAAATGATTCAAATGGCAGATTTTATGTCACATATATTTTACTGTAATTTAGAAAAAAGAACAAGTTAGGTTTCCCATCAGGGGCCCTCAGGGTTGGCATTGCTGGAAAGGCAGCCCTGATCACTCTTTCTAGAGAAGCGGGGGCACCTGGGTGCTTACTTCTGTAGTGGCAGTCCACACCTCGGTCAGCCCCGACCTGAGGTCTTCCTGACCTGTTCTCTCCTGCATGTTTCCACTGCTCATACGGGATCTCCAGGATCCACCCTCTGACCATAGGGAGACCTCCAGGCCCCTTCTGTGTACCTCCTTGGTCAGCTGCTCTAACCCCACAGTCCTTGTCTTTGTCCCTCTTCCAGGGTCTAGAACCACACCCGACACATCGTTGGCCCACATTATAGTCTGGCCGACTCTTGACTTAACCCCTGGCTTCAGTTCTGCGGATTCTGGTCCTTTGGTCTCCATTCACTCCTTGCTCTCTGGGCCTGTCCAGCGGTCTATCTATCCATTCTGGAGTCTGTGACAACTTACCCCACCCTGCTCAGATTCTGGATGTCCTCCCTTTCCTTCCCTAATTCGCAGAAGACCTGGCCTCAGACTTACGCAAGTCCCAGGCACGGCTTCCTTACAAATAAGACCTCCCTCCTGCTCAGCCAGCCTCTCTGTAGGCCTTTGGTCCAAGTCTCTGCCTCAGCAGAGCCTGCTCTTCTGTCCTCCAGCAGTGCCCTTGCTTGGCTATGTTCTCACTTTTTCCTTCCTATCCTGGGTGTCCCATCTTCTCCTGTCGGCCGTGTCTCTTCAAAACACCCCCCAGTCTCTCTCACAGGCCTGCCCACATCTAGCCTTCCTTCCTTGCCAGGCTCCTGTGGGGTCTTCTCACCACTCCCTCCCCTTTCACCCCCTCATTTACCCCTCAGCGTGCTGGAGTCGAGTTGAGGCCTCCAGCCTTCCTCTGAGTTGCCCCCTACTAAGAAGGAAGAAGGACTTCAATGTTAAAGAATGGAAAGGAGCCTGTGCTAGGCTCGCCTGGTCAGAGTGAACAGCCCACGCTGTTGACCATGCCTGCAGTTTCCAGAACACTGATCCTTCCAGAACTTGCCTGGCCTCAGGCAGATCCAGGCCCTTTGGAACCCCGGCCTGCCTTCCCCAAGATGATGCTCTCTCTAGAGCTTCAGCTCTTGACTGAATCTGATGGCTCCCAAGGCAGGGTTTCTGGCTGAAGGGTTTCTCTATAGCTTGGATACGGGTCCAGGCTTGCCTATGCATTGCCCAGTGGTCATTTCCGCAGGCACCAGAGCTCACTGCATCCCAACAGGCTCATCATCCTCTGACACACGCTCCAGTTTCCTTGCTCCCTGTGCCGAGCACCTGCCCTGCCAGTCCCCCACTACCCGGCCCAGAGACGGGCAAGCTCCTCTCCCCATCTTCACTTCACTGCACACACTCTGGGGAGGGATCCTCCCTTTCTGCCTCCAGCTCCTCTCTGTTCTCAACGTCTCCGCCTCGTCCAGGGATGCCTCATCCCGCCAGGACAGCTGGAGGTCCTCCTACTGACGTCCGTGCCTCGAATTGGACTCTCTTGACCCAAGCGCCTATCATCACTCATCAGTTCAACAAGCAAGCTTCCTGAGTACCCACTGTGTGCTCACCCCAGGGTGGTTTTTCTAGGGCAACAATGAGCTCCTGGCTTACGAGCCTAGGTGGCTCACTGTGACCTTAGCAATGGGTCCAGCTCCTTGGCTGCTCCAATCAGACTCTGTGGTGAGGCTCCTGCCTGACTCCCAGGACCCCAATATGTCCTTAGTGCTCCAGCTCTTGTAGCTGCCCCACCCCCACTCCAGATCTGCCCAGGCCCAGAGGTGTGGAAGCTCAGCTGCCCACGTGCTCCGGGGGTGAGGATGGCTGGAGTCACATGGGTGCTGGCATTCGTGGTCCTTCCCTATCCTTTCACTCCTTCCGTGCATGGGCTGGGGCTGGCAGGCCTGGGCAACAATAATGCCCAAAAGGGTAGGGGAGGACAGACAGGGCTAATCAGAGGTGTCCACCAAGGGGATGGGACAAGGTGTATGGCCCGGAGTGAGAACATCAGGACTGTAGGTGGGGTGGGGGGAATGAAGTGGCCTGTGTCCTGGGCCTTCTGTCCCCCATCCACACGCTGTGGAAAGGCACTCAGGACCACCCACCCAAGGGACTCAGGATACACTCACGAGGGTCAGGCAGAGGCTTTGCCACTCTGGGTCAGGACACCCCAAGCCATCCTGAGGGGTGGGGGGCACACAGGCAGAGGGGCCGGCTCTCCTACCTGTGAGGCATAGGTGTCCAGCTTCTCAAACTGCCGCAGGTCCAGGGGCATGGACTTCAGGCTGGAGCGATCCCAGGGGTAGGCTGGAAACACAGGGAGACTGGTCAGTGGCTGAGACTGGCCAAGGACTGCCTGGTGCAGGCCTCCCTATCTTTGTGAGGAGCCATGACTGCCTGACCTTCAGCATGACTCCTAGACTGAAACACTGCTCTAGAGAGCTAGATCTCCTAGAAGGGTTTCTCAGACAAACGGGTTTGGGAACTGTTGAAGCTCCTCTAGTTCTCTGGGAGATTCACAGGGACCCTAAGGAGACCCGGGAAGTCAGCAGTAAAGAGACAGTACCTCAATGAACTCAGCAGCCCCAGGCAGACTGCTGTAGAATCCCTTCTCCCACCAGGTAGTTTTCTGCAGATTCTCTGCCAGCTTTTCCAGAAAGAGTGCTCTGTGGGGAGCATCCAGGCAATGCTGCTGGCCCCTGATGCCCTGGCCATGGTGCCCGGGTAGATGTGCTGCCGGGCACTCTGGGTGTTGGAGGAGAGCATGGTGGTTCTTGGCCACTTGGGCCTCCATGGGGTGAGGTGCATATGGCACCCAGACAGGCTTCTTCCCTTGCCTGTGATCAGCTGGAGACTGACCGCGTGCACCATGAGAAAGTTAAGAGTTCTGGCAACAGATGCCTAAGGTACTGTGGGGGTCCCCCAAGGGAGGCTGGGTCTCAGAATCCCTCACCTATGTCCAGCCTTTCTCAGAGGGAGCCCAGACACAGGACAGACTCAGGTAGCTACTGCAGAGCTAAGTGATCAGTGGTCAGACCAACCCAAGGATGGACAGGCAGCAAAGCCCTGCCCCAGGCCAGGGAAGAGCCTGGGCTTTGGCTGGGTCTTTGTTATTCAAGGCCCAGGCTGACCAAAGTCAGGCAACCTGGGTGGGAGGTCAGGGAGGGAGTGAGAGGAGGATGGAGCCAAAGGGGCACTGATCCCCCAATCCAGGGGATCAACTCTCATTCTGCCATGTCAGGATGGAGAGGGGTGGGTGAGGGGTGCTGTTGGGGCCACAGAACATGACAGGAAGCCTGGGAGGAGCAGAGGGATGGGGAAAGTGCCCGGTGGGACTACACACGGCCTGGAATGGCTGGCCAACCTCGCCCCCCTCACTGGGAGTTGCTGAATTCAGTAGCCTGAATCAGCTACTGAATCCAGTAGCCTGGCCTCAAGCATGTATCTTGGGGCACCTGGGGGAGTGAATGAGATAGTGGATCACGTGGTAAGGTTAGAGGTGTTCTGCTCCCTGGAAGGGTGCAAAGAGGGGGTCCTTTGCAGGCAAGCACAGAACAAGGATATAAAACCTCTGTGGCCAGTGTGGGACTGCTCCCGTGTGTACCCATACATCCTTTGAGGACAGCTCCCTCTATTCTTAGTTTAAGCAGAAGAGTAATTTATTAAATGTTTTTAAGTAAGGACACAAGCTACAGGAGGAGCGGACAGCAAGCACGGAGGCTGCGCAGTCAGCCAGGGCTGTAAGTCAGTAAAAGAGCTGGAGGCAGCATTTTGGAGGCAGAGCTGCTGTTCCCACTGAGATGGACACGGTGGCTTCCTTGGTGGGAACAAGGTGTCACCACCAGCTCTGGCCTAAGCTGCTCTGGAACCCTCCCTGGGCTGGCACTGCATGTGAGGCTCTGCCAGCTGGTTAGGGAGCTGGCCATTGTCCAGCCACAGAGGAGATCCCAGGCTCCAGTCAAGTTCAGCATCAGGAGCAGGCCACATGGATCCTTCTGCGTGTCCCCACTGATGCAGGCCCCTTCCTGTTAGGACCGAAGCCTTTTACTTCCTTCTCAATCTCAGACTGGCTTTGGCCACCTCTGTCTGCTCCCTCAGTCCCTGCTGACCCACTGCAGTAGTCTTCACATGGGGAGGGGTGGGGAGCCTCTGACACACCAGGATCTGAGGCTATTCCTGTCCTAAAAGAAGGCAGGGTGCGCGGTGGGTGGGCAGGCGATGCAAACTCTACTTGAGGCTGAGACCTTGCTCAGCAAGCCAGCGTCTTCTTTCTTTATTTTCTGCCCTCTACAAGGACCAAGACCTCCCCTGGCTCCCCGGCCCGATCGCCTCCAGCCTCCTGTCCTATACAGTCTAACCCAGAGGCTCCCTGGAAACCCAGAGCCATCACGGCTCACCTGTCTCATGCCAGAGCTGGGATTTCTCCCCTCTGAACACTCATAGGACCTCAGAGCCTATCCAGGGCGGTCCACCATGGGGCCCTCACCCAGCTGGGCCCTCAGAAGGGACAGGGAGGCAGCAGCAGGCCCTGCTGAGCTCCCCACTGCTCAGTGCCCTCTCTGCCCATGGACTCTGGCTCCTGCCCCTCTGACAAGGGCCGTCACGGTGACCTAAGTGGATACGAAATGGACTTCCACGTTTAACAAGCTTCAACTCTGCAAATGAGGTCTCCCCTGCCCCCATTTCGAAGAAGGATGGCATTTCTAAAATGGGACTGAAAACCCTATTATTAGTTTTACCCTTTCTTGGTTCCGTTTTACAATATCTGAACATTAAAAATACCCATAATGATTTATGCCTCATTAAATTTACTTTTTGAGCAGATTATGTAAGATTTGAATATGATTTTGCATAAATACATTTAAAATACCAGTGGCATTAACTAAATTATTCTATCTTTAAAGCAAAATAATAGGAAGAAGTAACAAACTGTACCAAGCCTTAGATGCCATCTGGTCTGCTGAGGGGGAAACTGAGGCCCAGGGAAGGTGTTATTGCTGTTGTTCAGTTGCTCAGTTGTGTCCGACTCTTTGTGACCCGATGGACTGAAGCACACAGTGCTCCTCTGTCCCCCTCTATCTCCCAGAGCTTGCTCAAATTCATGTCCATTGAGTCAGGGATGCCATCCAACTATCTCATCCTTGTTCACTCCCTTCTCCTCCTGTCCTCAATCTTTCCCTGCATCAGAGTCTTTTCCAATACTGGGGCTTCAGCTTCAGCATCAGTCCTTCCAATAAATATTCAGGGTTGATTTCCTTTAGGAATGACTGGTTTGATCTCTTTGTTGTCCAAGGGACTCTCAAGAGCCTTCTCCAACACCACAACGTGAAAGCATCAGTTCTTTGGCGCTCAGCCTTCTTTATGGTAAGGTGAGTGAGGAACAAAATTAGGATTCGAACCCAGGCTGTCATCACCCCTTCAGGATTTCTTCCCCTGTCTCACTCTGCTGATTCACATGCCTCCTACCTTACAGACACTTGCTTTAAAACTTAATTCAATTCTGAATTCTGTTCTAATGTTTCCCATAATGGGCTGCCTTGTTATTGGTGGGGTTTATGCTTTCGCTTTGGGATCACATCTGGTGTGTTAGCTTTTCACTTCTCCACCTGTGTCCATAGCAGACATTGCCAATCAATCATGATACTTTTGTCCCCTGAGCCCCAAGATGGGCCCAGATACCCAGCTCTAAGGAGCTAGACTGTTCCAGGGAGCCATTTCCAACTGACTGCAGATTGGCTCATGAGGCTAACCTAATCTCAGAAAACAACCCCAAGAAAGCTTTGCAACTTACCATGGGTATCTTTCCCTCCAGGCTGCCGGGGTCTTGTGTTTCCATTTTTATCAACTTGTAAACCTACAATATCCCAAAGGTCAGGAGTAGAGACACGTGAGAAGAAATAGAAAGGCAAGCACAGATGACTCTCTGTGTGGTGGTCCTTCCTTCTGACTGCTCATCTTCACTATGCCTCTCACAGTATTCTTGCTCTCATCCCCACCCACCACCAAACCACTGCTAGGATTGCCCTGGGCTTTCTGGTGAGGCACGGAGGACTGAGAGCCAATGGGGGATGACAAGAAAGAGAAGTTCAATCTGTGAGCAGAGAAAGAATTTTCTAGGACATCGAGGCTTGGGATTACTCAGCACGCCAGCCTGGAGTCCCTGTTCCTGCCTCCACACTGGATGCTCCCGCTGTCTTGGACCACAGCTGGAGATCCCGAGGGTGTCAGTCAATTCACTGCCAGATGACCTCATGAGAAGAACTGACCATGAGCAGACATGAAAGGGGAAAGAGGGGAAATATTCCTCAGGAAGGTTCAAGGGCAATCAAATCTATAAATGCAGGACTATTAAGGCAGTGTGTGTGTGTTAGTTGCTTAGTCATGTCCAACTCTTTGCGACCCCACAGACTGTAGCCCACCAGGCTCCTCTGTCCAGGGAATTCTCCAGGCAAGAATACTGGAGTGGGTAGTGATACATTCCCTCCTCCAGGGGATCTTCATGACCCAGGGATTGAGCCTGGGTCCCCTGCATTACAGGCAGATTCTTTACCATGTGAGCCACCAGGGAAGCCCAGTAAGGCAGAATGGTCACTAATTGTCATTAGACTCCATAAACAACAGGAGAGAATTTCTTGCTGATTTGAAACCATGTCAGGAAGATGTAGGTCCCTGATGGAACCAGGAGGAGCTGGGGATAGGGGTGCCAAGGGAAGTTATTCTTTGCCCTTGAAGGTCATTGTTGGCTGTAAATAAAAAAATAGAAGGTTGCAAATGTACATAGATCATTCTGAGAAACAGTGGGCCTTGACTTTCTTATGTTCATGTTTTGTTCCCATCTACATTCTTTGGTAGAGTGATAGGGGTTCGAAATAGTAGCCAGATTTTTTGTGTACCTACTATTGCCTGGCTTGTGCTTTATTGACTATCTCAGGTAACCTCACAGCAATCCTTTGAGGGACTTGAATCATTTTCCTCCTTTTGTACATGAGGAAATTGAGTACAAAAGAGAGGTTAAGCTACTTTCCTGAGGTCCCACGGCTGAGATCTGAATCCAGCTAGCTGACTCCCAGGGTCTGCCCTCCCGAACTCCTGGCTGCTGATGGCCTATAGGACCAGACAGCCATAAGGGACCTGCCCTGCAGCTCCCCCCACCCCCCCAAAGTAGACGTGCAGTGCACCTCAGCCTTGGCTGTTCTGAAGCCTCTGTTCCTTGGCTGGAGTTTCCCCAGGCCCCTGTGAAGCCACAAGATGGACAGATACAGGGCAAGGACCATGAAGGGAGCAGTGGAGACATTGCAGGCCTGGGTCTGGGCCTGTGCACACAGCACGGAAGGCAGCCAGACATGGTGGTTAAGGGCATGGGTTTCATTTGGACCTGGGTTCTGACCTGCTTCCTAACCAGGAGACAGGCAGTTATCTCACATTTCTGAGCCTTTGCTGATCTAAAAAGTAGGCTAATACTGGTGTATATCAAAGAGTTAAAAACTTATTGAGGGTACAGTGCTTAGCATGGCACATGCCACTTTGTAGGCAGTCAATACATGGCGTCTAAGAACAAGAAACTTCTTGTGATGAAATTCATGTTTAGCTAAGTGCCTTGTGTGACCCAAGAACAGGGGTCATTGAGTGTGGAGAAGAGAGTGTCCCAGGGTGAAGCTGCCATGTCTCTGCTGGTTCCCTGTGTGTAGGCCCAGGTCACTCCTCTCCTTCCACCAGAAGGTGCCCAGGCTGGGCTCTGGCCCTTCCAGCTGCCCCAACTCTCTGTGCCAGCCCTCCAAACATGAGCAGCCCTGTACGTACGTACGTTTAGCTAAGGAGAACTTCTTGAACAGCTGGGGCATGGCATCCCGAGGGTGGACCTCCACAGTCAGCTGTGTTCCTGAAAAGGAATAGGAGGTGATATTCTCAGCCAGACACTGCCAGAAAAGGGTGCAATGTCTCATGACAGATGTTTGAACAACAACACACAATTGGTTGTAGAACTTTCTTTTGAATATGCAGATAATTTTTGTTTACAAAACCCCAAAGCAAGAAATAAGCAGACAGTTTCCAGATCTGGGCAAGACGGAGTAAAGAACTTCCACCATGTCTCTCCCACTCAATGCACTGGAAAGAATGAATGGACCGACTATTTGAGGACCTCAAAGCAAATGATAGAAGGCAAACTGGGGAAGAAGATTAGAATTTAAAGCATCATCAAATTGGCAGAGTTGACCATTCCCTTCCCCTAAGGCATTACCTAGACTGATTCAAAGGCAGCCCCAAACGCAGAAAGGCACAGTGGATGCAGAGAAAAAGTGCTCTAAGAGAAGCTCTTTCTTTTGGCTTGTGGAGTGAGAAAGGAGAACTCTGAGAGTCATAGTGGAGGAAATCCTCTCGTTTTTTTCCCTTTTTTCTTTCATCTCCTGACTCAGCCCCCAGGGAAATTCTGCTGGGATCAGTGCATCAGTGAGTCTGGTGGCCCAACAGACACCTAAGTCTTTGTAGGGGAGGTGGTTACCAGTGAAACTATGATTCTCAAGAGTGTAGGGGAAAATACTCATTGATTTCTTTCCCTCTCTGTTCTCCACTGGTTGTTTCCAGATGCAGACACAGAGATGCACCCAGAGAGTAGGAAAGCTAAAGCCTCAAGATTTAGGGCTGGAGGACTGGCAAGTGGGTTGTAAAGAGGAGGGGATCAAGACAGCAATTCCATAAAGTTATGGATGAACTTCTGTGGTCACCTCTACATGAATGGATCTCATTCACATTGTGCATGCACTCATCCTAAACATTATATCAGTCTCTGAGAACTAAACTACAGTATAAAACAATGCCTTGATTGGCTGCTGTATGGTGCATGTGCAGGGCAGATCTGGCAAAGGCTAAAATCCCATTACTCAGTATAGAGAGATCCTGGAAAATATCAACTTAAAAAGGAAAAGAAAATAAACAGATGCTAACCCTATGGTGACACAGACTCTGGAATTATTAGCCAGAGATTTTTAAATAGCCATGATAACCATGCTCTAAAAAATGAGGTAAATAGTCTTGAAATAAATGAAAAGATACAAAGTACTAGCAAAACTTAGAAGATAAAAAGAAGAAACAAATAAAAATTTTAGAACTGAAAAATACAATTGTTTAAAAAATATCTGTATATACTCAATAGCAAAATAGAGATGACCAAAAAAAGAGTCAGTGAACTTGAAGAGAGATCAATAGAATTACTCAACAAGAACAACAGAGAGAAACAGTGAACAGAACCTGTGGGATGGTACCTGAAGATCTAATACTCATGTTACCAAGATCTCAGAAATAGAGAAGAAATAATGTGATGCAGAAAAATATTTGAAGAAATAACGACAGAATAATCAACACAACCAAGAGCTGGTTCATTGAAAAAAATCAGTAAAATTGATAAACCTCTAACTAGAGTGGACAAAAAAAAGAGACAAGACACAAATCAGGAATCAAGACACCAATATAGGAATGAAATGAGGGTTATCACTATAGATCCCATGTATACTAAAAGAATAATAAGGAATAGTATAAATAACTCTATACAGATAATTTCTGCAACTTAAATGGGCCATTTCCTTGAAAGCTATAAACCACCGAAACTCACTGAAGGAGTAATAACCTGAAATTTCCCATATGTATTTTTAAAACTAAGCTTGTAGTTCAAAAGTTACCAAAAACAAACAAACAAAAAGCAAACCAAAACCAGGTCCAGATGGTTTCACTGGCAAATTCTAACAAAACTGTCAGTTTTAAAATTCAATTTATCACAAGATACTTCAGGAAATAGAAGAGCACTAAATACTTCATATATATTTTATGAGGCCATCATTAATCCGATACTAAAATCAGATAAACAGTATAAGAAAAGAATACTATAGATCAATATCCCTTGTAAACATAAACATAAAAATTCTCAACAAAATGTTAGAAAATTAAATCCAGCAGTATAGTAAAAGAATAATATACCACTTTGGGAATGCTGGGTTCACTCAATATTTGAAAAATCAGTGATTGTAATTCATCGTATTAGCAGGCTAAAGAAGACCCACATGATCATATCAATTGATACAGAAAAAGCATTTGACGAAATTTAACACCCACTCAACAGATCTCTCAAGAAACTACGAATAGAAGGGAGCTTCTTAATTTGGAAAAGGGCACCTACCAAAAACCTAGAGCTAACAACATATTCATTGGTGAAAAGTGGAAATCTTTCCCCCCCAGGATTTGGAACAAGGCATGGATGGCCACTCTCACTGTTCCTAATGAACACTGTACTGAAGTTCTGCCCGGTGAAATAATAGAAATAAAAGAGAAAGAAAGAAAAGTCATATAGATTACAAAGAAAGAAGTGAAACTCTCCTGTTCACAGATGACACGTCTGTCTACATGGAAAAATCCCAAGTAATCTATACAAGAATTTCCTAGAACTAAAAAAGTAAGTTTAAGAAAGGTCACAGGATACAAGGTCAGCACCTCAAAATCAATTATATTTATGTTGACAATAAATGATTAGAAATCGAATTTTAAAATGACTATTTCCCAAGGCTCCAAAAAATGAAATAGTTAAGTGTAAATCTTAAAAAAAAAAAGCAGGAATTTTATGCTGAAAACTAAAAAATATGATCAAACAAATTAAAGCAGACTTAAACTCATTGGAAAAGACCTTGGTGCTGGGAAAGATTGAAGGCAGGAGGAGAAGGGGATGACAGAGGATGAGATAGTTAGATGGCATCACCGACCTGATGGACATGACTTTGAGCAAGCTCCGGGAGTTGGTGATGAATAGGGCAGCCAGGCGTGCTGCAGTCCACTCGGTTGCAAAGAGTCGGACCTTACTGAGGGACTGAACTGACTGACTAAATACACAGGGAAATATGTTATGTTCATGAATTGGAAGACTCAGTATTGTCAAGTTGGCAAATCTCCCTAAGTTCATCTATAGATTTCATGCAATTTCAATTAAACTCCTTGGAGGAATTTTGTAGATTGTAAATATAGGCCAGATGATTCTAAAATTTAGATAGAAAGATATTGCAACTAGAAAAATCAAGTTAATTTTGAGAAAAAGATAGGAGGACACCAATGGATTTTAAAGTTCTATAAAGCTACAGTAATCACCCAGTGTGATATTGACAAAGTGATAGATATATAGCTCAATGGAACATAATAGAATTAAGAAATAGACCCACACAAATACGGCAAATTGATTTTTTACAAAAGTGCAAAGACAATCCAATTAGAAAATGGGTAAAATAATGGATATCTCACCAAATAAGAAATTAAGGATGTTCAACATGATTAACCATTAGGAAAATGCAAACTGAAAGCAGAATGAGATACCACATCTATTAGAAGAGCAATAATAAAAAATAATGATAATACTATATGCTGATGAGGTTGCAGAGAAACTAGATCCCTCACAGATGCTGGTGGTATTGTAAAATGATGCAGCCATTCTAGAAAATAGTTCGGAAGTTTCTTAGAAAACAAAACATGTACTTAACATATGACTCAACAAGTATACTTTTGTGCCTTTATCCCAGAGAAATGAAACTCTTTACATTCACACAAAAACATGTACACAAGTGCTTATAGAAGCTATATTCATAATTACCCCAAACTGGAAACATTTGAATGTCCTTCAGTGGGTGAGTGGATAAACACCTTTTGGTACAGCCATATCAAGCAGTACTTCTCAACAATACTCTTAGGAGTGATGGGAGGATGTGAATCTATACAAAGAGTCTGTACAAGGGAATTTTGGGGGTGACAGAACTTCTTTGTATTCTGATTGTGGTGGTGGTGACATGAATCTGAGCATGTGTTAAAACACAGAACTGCACACCAGAAAATCCAATACTATATGCTAATTTAAATTAATATAAAAATTTAAAAATACCAAACAAATGCAAAAGTAAAAGTAGAATTAAAACAGAACTTATGTGATACAGAACGATGTAAAATAGATGACAATGCAAAGCAGGATAATAATAAACATGTTTTTGTATCCTTCTTTCTTCACTTGTCTTTACATTACATGTTACTGAATATAATCACAAGTCATTTTAAATGGCTGCATAGTACTCTATTCTACAGACGGTTTATAATCATAAGAAGAAATTTCTTTTTGTTGGATATTAAAGATTTCCCAAATGTTCTGCTATTTAAACAATGATGTGATGAACATTCTGATATTGTTTAGTTGCTAAGTTGTGTCTGATTCTTCTGTGACTCCATGGACTATAGCCCACCAGTCTCCTATGTGGATACTGGCAAGGATACTGGAGTGGGTTGCCATTTCCTCCTCCAGGGGATCTTCCTGACCCAGGAATCGAACCTGCATCTTCTGTGTTGGCAGGCAGATTCTTTACCACTGAGCCACCAGGGAAACCTAAACATTCTGACACACCGCTTTACACACTCTTCAAATTGGTTTCTTCAAATAAATTCTTAAACATGTATTGAAGGGTATGGAGATTTTTAAGGCTTTTGTTAGATATTGGCAAAATCTCATGAACGATTTTATGATTCTCTCGACAGTGTAAGAGAGTGTCTACTTTGCTCACCCTTTCTGTGTTTAAAGGCAAAATTGGTTACAATACTTTGTATTTCCTTCCAAAAAGAGGTCTTTTATTCTCAACTCAGATTGCCAGTGGGAGTGATATCATAAGAGTGACAACTCTAAATTTGTGGTATTTTGTTTATTAACAAAAACAATAAAGATTTCCCAAATGTTCTGCTATTTAAACAATGATGTGATGAACATTCTGATGTTGTTTAGTTGCTAAGTTGTGTCTGATTCTTCTGTGACTCCATGGACTATAGCCCACCAGTCTCCTATGTCCACAGGATTATCTTGGCAAGGATACTGGA